CCCAGGAAGCCAGACACGTTGGGCCCATAGTCTGCCATAAAGGGCCAGCACGCCCCGTTATCCTTCCCGCCAGGCGTCCTCAGCGCAGGGTCAGGCCGTACACCACAGGGCCATTGGACCTGAGCGAACACGCACAGCCCCAGAGAGCTTTGTACACAGGACGTCTTTATTAAACTTTTGCTGCTGCAGCAGGAAGGGACATGGGCTCTGCGCTGGGATTTTGTCCCAGGAAAGGGACACAGGCCTTCTGCACTAGCCCGTTACCCGGCATCCCCTGGGCACTGGGAACACGCAGCATGGCGGAGTGGCCACCTTTGGGATTTGCAAACAGGGATTCCCATTTTCTAATCCTGGAGCTGCCGCTGGCCCCTGAACACGCCCCAAACCGTGCCACGCGCCTGGCCTGGCACTTTTACCCCCCTCCCCATGTGAAGGAGACAGGCTGTGATGGCTGGGCCTCAACCGGAAGGGGTGGGATCTTTAGAGCCCCGGGCCCTTTAAATTGCCGCCTAAGCCCTGCTGCCGGAGCCCTGGGGTAGCAGCGGCGGCCAGGGGCTCGGGTGGTGATTTAAAGGGCCTGGGGCTCCCAGCTGCTGCTACCGCAATGGGGCCCCGGTCCCTTTAAATCACCGCCGGAGCCCCAGGGGTCCCAGCCACCTCCACTACCTGGGGGCTCCGGCAGCGGGGCGCTGGCGGCCATTTAATGGGCCCGGGGCTCCAGCCGCTGCTGGGAGCCCCAGGCCCTTTAAATTGCAGCATGGGGCAGCTGCTCCGGTACCGGCTTACTTCCACCTCTGGTGTGACCTACACAGGCTGCCCACAGGCAAACACAACACCCAGCAAGGCCCGGATTAACCAGGCGCCAAACATATTTGTGGGCCCCCAGGGATGAGGGGCTGGCCAGGGACAATGGGGCATGGCATGGCGGGGGAGGGTCGGTTCCCAGAGCCAGGGGCTAGCCAGGGGCAATGAGGCACTGGGCATGGGGAGTCGTGAGTGGGGTCTGTATGGGGGGGAGGGGGCTGGGGGGGGTCTCTTATGTGGGGTTGGGGGCAGTGAGTCTGTGTGGCGCTGTGCTGGCGAGCTGTGTGCGGTGGGGGGGGTCTCTCTCTCTATGGGGCTGGGCTGGGGGGTCCTGAGGAGCTGTGTGTGCGGGGGTGACATTGGGAGCTGTGTGTAGGGTGGGACAGGCTGGCTAGGGGTCCCAGGAGGCCAGTCTCTCTCTCTCTGTGGGGCTGGGGGTTGGGGGTTCCATAAGGGGCTGGGCTGGGGGGTCCCAGGAGCTGTGTGTGGGGGAGTCCCGGCAGGGGGGGGGTCTCTCTCTCTCTCTCTCTCTCTGTGGGGCCGGCCAAGGCTCTGTCTGATATGGAACCAGCCGGGCTTGGCCCTGCCTCCTGCCCGGCCAGGAGGAGGGACCCGGGGAGGGACCTGCCCTCGAGACGCCAGGGCTGTTGTTATGGGCCCT